GTATACGTTGCCCAGGGTGCACCACGTGGAGGTAAGTCTATCGCACACCCCACTTCTTAGGAAGTAAAAAGCGTTTCTGGTACACTGACTATTGATTGTAGATGGCTTGAGAGGTCTCTGCTCTCGTGACCTCATTTGCTACCTTACGCGATTAACAACGTGGCCGCACGCTTCAGAAAGTACGCGTGTGCACAAGATTGCATAGTTTAATCCTGCCTAGGTTGTTTATCCCTTGCGATTCTGGGTATCAGGTGATCGAAGTTCATGGCAAATTCAGCCATCAAGTGCTAGAGCTTCTTGTGTTCAGTTTCACTCTCTGACGTTCAAATTTCCTCATTCATGTCGAATTCGTCTTGTTGCGATGTAAACCGTCAACCAATTGCGTATTAGGTGAATGTCGTATTTGTGCTCTCTAGCAGTACAGGCTCTGTCACTTTATATCCTCCATCTCCTGTTTGAAGCGAAGTTTTTAGGGCCCTGATGTTGAATGAAATTGAAAAATCTTTATCCAAGAAATTTTAAATTCACATCAAAATAATCAATTTTTTATATAATTGGCATATTTGCTGGAATGAAGAATGAAACGAGGTTGTTATCATAATTTTAGAACCATGCCTACCTAAATGGCATTTGAGACGGAACAACCTTGTGGATGAAGAGTAAAACAGACCAGTTAATGATAGGTTGGGGGCAATGATAAACAACATAACAGAGTGCTAGGTCTTAAATTCTCTTAAGTAGAATGATAAGGGTTTGCAGTGTTAGTTGAGGACACAACTCTGAAGAATCCCAAACTCAATATCACAGAAAATATGTGCCACAAATTGATCCACTTATCTATGGCAAGACTTGGAGGCATCGATACTGTAGATTGCTGAAAGCTGATTGAAACTGTAAGAAAGTCATATGGTCTGGGAATAAGAAGTAATCAAGCCAATTCACTCATATTTCAGGTACCTTTATGAGAACGCGCTCAGTCACACTCTCTCGCACACACATTCATATACACATGGGACTTCCATGGCACTGTAATCGTGATCTTATCACCAGTCAGTCACTTTTAATCTCATGTTTTTGGAAGCCATCAGCTGATTTTGTCAAAATGGAGAAGCTAACTTGAATAAATTTCAGTGGACAAATATTTGTAGGAATAAAATATAGATTTGAACTTCATTCGAATTTATGCTATTTCAATAATTCATTCTGAAATGCAAACACAATGCGAAAAAATACATTATGAAACGGAAATTCAAGAAGGCTAATCGACGTGGAACAAACATTATCATTAAGGTTACCTTAACTAGGATTATTTCACCAATGAATATCTCAATTTTAGGATAGAAGTTTCCTTTGTCGTTATGCAAAGCAAAATATTTATCTAAAATGGATTTATAATTTATATTAACATAGACTAAACTAGTGGACTATTATATAGTGAAGCATTTCTGTCTATCGATGAGGAATATGCGCATGATAAATTACATATTTGGCATATCTACGTACAGGAAAATAAAAACGCTCTTTATTTTGATTAATTTTGTATGATTTCATTCGTGGTTCTTCTACAATGAATATGAATGTTTATTGCATGAATGAAATAGTCTAATAAGATAATATTTTCACTTAAAAGCAAAAAAAGCTATAAAGCACTTCGATTAATAAATAAACACATTTACATTTAAAATTGAAGATATTATTGAGATTATCATGAGTCGTAATTTGTTTAACCGGCCTCGAGTCAACCTAATCGGCGACCTAGTATTTTTGGCTGAAGCTTCTAATATTTTTTTTGCTATTTTGCGTTTCCAAAATGCTTTCAGCAGTCAATTATTTGCTTTTCAGTGAATGCACAGCGAAGCTTTTACTCTCTGGTTTGATTGGTGTATACACGGCTTATTATTTCTTAGTGGCTCGTTCGGTAAGACTTATTTGTTGGTATTTATCAATTTATTTACAGCCACCAATTCTCTATGGACGTTCTAAGAGGCTTTCCAATTTCTTTCTCTCATACGTTCCTTTTCTGAGAGAAATTTATTCTCCTTTTATCTTTGGTTTTACTGGTCGTGTTCAGACTGTGTTGAGACCAATATTTTATCGTTCTGATAAGATCAATTATGTAGAGTAAGACGATTTCTCTAGTGATAGACCTGCATAGAGAATATGTAAGCTTTCCAGACGGTGGGGAAATGCAATTGTCGTGGAGCAATGTGGAAGGAATGTCGGAGGATACACCAATTGTGGTTCTTTTACCTGGATTAACTGGATGTGGCTGTTGCAGTTACATAACTAGTCTGGTGAAGGAGATAAACAGTCTGAATTACCGTTGTGTTGTTTCGAACAACCGTGGGACATGTCGGCACAAGTTGAAGGTTGGTATAAATGAGCTTTAGGGTGTATTTAGCAGACACCGAAAACCTATTGTGCTGCTCATACTTCCGATGTTGCGACCGTTTTCGAGCTGATCCGAAACCGATATCCAGATGCTCCAATGGTGGCAGTTGGAATTTCCCTTGGAGCGTAAGTCAGCTGAACTTTTCCTATTTGTTCTTGGATTATTTTGGTCATATTTTATTGTTTTTGTTTCTCTTGGGGATGAATCCGATTTGATAGTTTTCGTAAGAGTGGAGTTTGCCCAGTGGTTTTGTGTTCATTATTTCCATTAAACTTGCTCTTGTTTGAAGAGTGTATCGATTTTAACTAGTTTGTGGGTGTTTCGACGTCATTAGTCTTCAGTTCTTTTTTCCTTAATATCCTTGGTAAATACTTACATTCGGTCACTACTTATATAGTTGTTGAATATAACGAAATTAAATTTAAGTTTCCTTATGAGTTTCTGAGATTCGTGTTTGCTAGCTAGCATTAAGATTGTACGTATTGCAAAATGAAAGCTCTTTTAATTTTAATGTGTTAGCAGCTTATAAACATACTTAATGATTAATATTTTGGGAAAATGAACCAGGTTCTTATTTATTGTTTGCTTTAAATTCTAATTATTGTTTACTCACCAATTTACAAGCATGATTAGCTATCTCGTGATCTAAATTACCACTCTTCTGAAAAAAAGTTCCTTCTTTACAGCTCTTTACCGATAGATTTTGAATTATTGAAAGCTAATGTTTTCTGCTGTATATCATTAAAAGGCAATATATTTGTGTATTGTTATTTATCATCGTATTCACCTATTTACAATTAGGATACTCAAAGGTCTATGCAGTGGCTTCTTCTTCAACTTATTTTTTTTTACTGGTTAACGACTACAGATTTGCATCCCATTGGCTATGCGAAATAAGGTCGCAAGATTATTGATTAGCATGTGGGCTGGTTGCGGTGGGTGTCTTGCATATCTGTTAGGCCAGAGGTTAAAAATTCGAGGCTTTATCACTGCACTTTCATTTAGTAAATGAATACTCATACTGGCCAATATCAGCCAAGATGTGTGTAGTCGGTTGTGAGCGTTTGAACTCTTTTTCCCTTAACTTATTTGAGCATCATCATGGATTTGCATATGAGTGTACGAAAGTTGGCAATTGCTTGTCGAAAGAAATTACTTGAGCTATACCGAGCAGATGGAGTAGATTGGTAGATATATTGAGTCTAAAATTAAACTTTTGACAGAGTCTTTTAAAGATTTTATCTAGCTCTTAAGTATAATTAGCTAATTAGTCAGACAATCTGCGTCACGTCTTCACTTAATAGTCTGAGATTCAAGGATAAGTTACTTGCCATTTCTTCCTTTAATTTCTCAATGACCCGTTTTCTTTTATTTTGCTGTTTTGCATAACTAATGCAAAATACACTTTGTTATTAAGAAAAAGTTTATGGTTTGTTTTTTAAACACAATATATTACTTATATTTACTCTGGTTTTTGTGCTCAAAACGAACTATTAGAAATAGTGCTTATGCCAGCAAATAGTACTTATAGTTGAAAGAAGAAAACTCATTTAGAATGTCGTATTAAATTTTTGCTTGCTTAAGGCTAGCTTTGGTGACTACATAATGGTCACCAATAGTTGGTTGTATGGGGTGTGCGATAGACTTACCTCCACGTGGTGCACCCTGGGCAACGTATGCTCATGCGGTAAAAAAGTCTATAAACCGGCATTTGACTTCTGACTTCAAACTACCATGACCCGACTGTATGTCATATTCTAAAACTTCGCAGTACTCATCCTAACTTTTCTTTATCGTTGTGTCTGTCTGCCTCTTCTACATCTGTGAACCACTCTTCTGTTCCCCTCTCGAAATTTTCTCACTTTGTTGTTCCTCCCTTTGCGAATCCCGAAGTCGGCTAAATGGCTTATGATAACTATTCAAAACGCCTGCCATTTGAGATAATAATAATAGTTGGTTGTTTCCATTTATATATTTCTTAATGAATAATTTCTACTTTGCCCGATAACAAAAGGAGCATGCCCCTCTAGATCTTTGATTTTGTTCATCTTTAGAGTTGTATGTCGGTTATTTGACGCAAACACAACTTGAATTTGTAATGACGTCATCTTATTCCATAGGTTTTCCGGCTAATCATATTAAAGGCGTGAGATGGTTGCGAAGGTGTATGTAACTGCCTGCATAACAGCTACCATTGTGAGACTCGAGAAGAATGTGAGGATTTAAGTCTTGCGAAAAGATATCTATCGCTGGGGTTCTAATTTCATCTTTTTTGTACTTTAGATCTTGACATAAGATTGGTATGAGGTTGTGCTACATCTGGGAGCCAAATTTGTTGAGGCTTTGATGAAAAAATAGTTTGGCAGTACTCACATGAAAATTATATTTCCACTGGTAAGAAGAGAAAAGTATGGGAATTTGAGACTTAGCAAACTGTCATTTTTTCTATGCTAAAATTTCGTTTTGAAAGTAATTTTGAAGATATTTGTTCTAGATTTTTGATTTCTGCAAGAACCCAGTTTTTCTTTGATTTGTATATTCTTTATCAGGAGTGTGCGATAGACTTACCTCCACGTGGTGCACCCTGGGCAACGTATACTCATACGGCAAAAAGTCTATTGACTGGCAGTTGACTTCTCACTTCAAACTGCCACGACCTCACTGTATGTCATGTTCGACCCCTTTCACAGCACTCACCTTACCTTTTTCCCTACCTTTGTGTCTGTCTGCCTCTTTTACATCTGTGAATCGTTCTTCTGTTCCCCACCCATCGCCTTTCTTCTACTTTGATGAACCTTCCCTCTGTGAAGCCCGAAGTCAACTAAATGGCCAATGATAGCTATCAAATCGCCTGTCATTTGAAATAAATAAATATTCTTTATCAGTTTCGAGATGGATGCTCCTATTCATTTGAGATCAGAAGTAAGCTTACATCTCATTATTCATAAGTTCAAATATTGTTAGTTGGACATGTTCTCTACTTCATAGTTACGGAGTGTTTGAGACATGTTAAAGCGGTATTCTCCCCCATAACCTAAGTCGTTACTCAAAGTAGTCCACAAAAACTAGAACTCCACAGTGGCATAGGGTTACCGTAATGGTAGACCATTTACCTTAAGGCACCTTAACAAATATGCTAACATTGAAGAAGAAACAAGTTATTGTTAATTACCTATTTTGGATAAAAGTTGTTTAGCTTTGTGATGGGTGCTCGCCTATTGTTGTTTTACAACTTTCGTTTTCTCGTCTAGACTTCTGGTGTTCAATTACTTGGCTGACGAGCAGAAAGAACCTGGCAAACCTTGTCCCCTCACGGCTGCCATGTGCATCTGCATGCCTTGGGATATCTCCCAAACTTCTGACAAGTTGGAGAAATCTCTTGACTGGCTCCTATTCAACTATCCTCTCACTTATGGCCTGCGTCAACTCGTCATTCGGAACGCTGAAGTTCTCTCTGAAAAATATGATGTTCCACGTATACTCAAGGTGAGTTGGGTGAGAAGGAATGACTTAGTTAAAAGCAGACAGTTTTGTAATTTGTTATCATAATTAATTTCGTGGTCAATAAGGCGTAAGTTGATCTAACTTCCTTCCTGGATTGAGGAATAGCACCATTGATTCTCTTTGATGAGGGACTGACTTCGTGCCAATACCTTCTTGGGTATTTGCAATCAGTGCGAGCGGTTATTTTGTTTATCTAATTTGCGCCAGTAAGTTATGAATCAGGATTCACTAAGTGAAAGAGAAAATTTTGGAACTGGTGTTAGGTGCTTCGGAATCGCATAAGCAAATTATGTTGTGCGGGTACCTGGTACAAGGTGTATGGTCTCAATGATCGATTTTCTATCGTTATCCAGCCAATTCCATCCCGATCTTAGCTGCATTTTGTTCTTTTTCCATACTTAATGTAAATATTGCTGTGCAGTCTACAGTTCCTTCTTCTTGCGAGTTTGTCCTATTTGTTCCATCTACTCGTGCGAAGGTGATGGAACAAACAGGTGAACGATTTCTAATCCGTTTACGCCTTCTCGCTGTAATGGTGCAATGTTTGTTCACGGCCGCATCTCTAACCTGAAATATTGGTGGCTACTTATTGAGCTAGCTTACATTTTCTCAAGGTTCCCACATTTTGTAAATGTCGCGCGAATAAGCTAGATGAACTGAGTCCACAAATATACGAGACGTTTGAGAAGTGACGCCCCTTTTAAATCTGGAAGCAACAAATTAGATTAAATTTCTTATGAATTAGAATTTTCCAGCTTCTTTAACCACTCGGGTTTGTTAGACAATGTTGGCGGTGTCCTTGCACTTTGAATTATAGTTTTGTGGCGTCCTCTGGTTAGTGTTTGCACCGGTTTGCAAGGTATTTATAAACTTCTTAGTGTGAAGATAACTTGGCGCATTCTTTTGCAGTTCAACGTCATGAGACCTTAATGCTAACTTACTTTTCAATCATTCCAGTGGTTCACGCTGTGTTGTTTGCCTGAATGATTTTTTTTTTTACTATTGATGGTTGATACTTATCGACATTGGAATATCTGCATTTATTTCACGATTACTCTTTAGTAAGTTAGCTGTGCGGTAAAATGACTATCACATTAAATAAATTGATTACTTAAGTCCACTAATATCGATTGTCTTCTACATGTTGTCTGAATGTTTGACTGTGGTTGTATTTGCTTCAATTGAGTGCCTGCGCTTTAATGCCATGGATGTCTACACCCAATGTGTCAACTTCAATCGGGTAATCCCCCCCCCCCCCCTATTGTGAAGGAGTTTAAACTCTATTCGGGTGTAATAGTATGCCAGAGAACTAAAAGCAATTTCATATTTAGAATTTAACGTATTTTATTGTTAATAAGTATTTTTTTGGAAAATGAAATGAACTGACATAAGGGTTTAAAGGAAAATTTCCTTGGGTTTCGTTTGTAGATCTGCTGTTCTAAAAAGGCCAAGTAGTTTCTACTTAGTGTATGTCTGGCTAAAATTCAAGTTGACTGCGCTATCTAATCTATGTATATTATTTTGTTATGGCAGTGTAAGTTCTATCACACGAAACAAATAGTGATAAGAGTCGGGTGATATTGATTTCAGGCAGCATTCATATACTATCGCCTTCTTTACGAGGCGCAAGCTCTGTTAATGGCTCTGCCAACTGCTTCATTCGCAAGCCAAAGTGCTTGCGAACACGCAATGGATTAAAAATAGCCTCACAGAAATTTGCCGCTCTCTCGCTCAAGATCGTGATCGATTACACGAATATTATATAACCCCCCCACCTCACCCCCTCCCCGTTTCTTGCCATTGGTTACTGCTTTATATTTCTTTGATTGTAGCACCCAGAGATTTAGACTCGTTTTTCAACCCCCCCCCCCTCTCCACGCTGTTCTCCACACCACTGCATACAAAGCACTCATTTATTTAACCACTCTATTTCGTTTTTTCAGCAGAATTCTTCTGCATTGCGGTCAAAAGGATTGGCATTACACATGGATTAAAGGAGGAGGTGAATGAAAGTCGATGATTCTGGGCCTTTGTTTTCATTTTCTAAGTTCCCTATTTCACAGGGCATTGCCAAGTCAGTTGATTGGTCAGTGGCGCATCGCCTGTTTCTCAAATTATGTGTTAGCCAAGAAGGCCATAGTCCCTAACTCTTTTTTGCCACCAATTTTATGGTTCTTAATTAAAGCAAAACTTCTATTATTAGGGGCTGATACGCCCAGTTTTCTAACTCCTTTACTTTGTTATTCGCAGCACTCATCTCTTAGTGTGCAAGCTGCTATTGACTTTCTTGTTATGCTAATTGATTTTGGTCCTTGACTTAGGTTTATTTTCTCATTAATGGTTACGCGACTAACACCTTCCCATTTTTGAATTTTTTTAATCTTCAACCTCATTCTGTGTTATAACAGTTTATTAGACTTGGATGAGCCATAGCTTCGTAAGTTTATGACACATCGGTGTATTGCAAAATGGCAGAAAGATCTGTTGGCTTTAACAAGAGGCGTTTTATATTTTCAGTTACAATAGATTTAGCTCGCTTGAGACCTCAGAATAGAAGGCCTCCTTTTAACTTCCTTGGTGAATAATGTTCCTTTGTCCTCATGGTGGTCTTGGTCTGAGAGGCTGTTGAAACTTGATATTGTTAGGGTTGGAATAGTCTTTTTACTCCATTAATCAACTTCTCTATTATTGTTTAATATGTTTATTTCATTGTTACCTCCCCCCCCCCGCCGTTTCGCTGGAGATTCAGAAAATGTTACAACTGTGCTCATGACAAAAGTTCGGAGCACAGTCTCCTTTCCCTGAGCGAATGAATACTCACAGAGCCTTGAGATTATTGACGAAGTGGCTGATTTCGACACATTTTTTACTCTATCAGTCTACGATTAGACCTAACGTGAAATATTAATTAAATTTAATCTTATGCATCTGCCTCATTTTTTGATGTACACTTGTTCTGTTAAACCTATGATAAGAATCGGTAGAAGCTGTGGTTTTGTAAATGAACATGACTGAATACTTTGTTATTGAGAGATCGGTCTTTAGTCAATACTTCACTAGTTTCCAAAATTTTTTTTACAACATGTATCGTATCCAGATAGAGGTAATATAGAAGTGTAGTTACTCCATGATAGCTCATTAATCCATCAGTGATGATTTCAAGTAGTTCTAATACTGTTTCTCATTTCAGTTTTCGGTCAGGTAGTTGTGGAGAGCATGCGTACTATATGATTTTGAGTTTTGCTTGTCGACGTATCCAAACGGTAGTTTTCCAATTGCTGCATGGTATAAAATTTATTTTGACTCCAGCACGATTAAGATTCACTTGAATGAAGTGACTGATTATATGTTGTAACCCAGGAATATTTTGCATAATGAGCAAAGTTATCAATTGATACATGAATATAATTGAATCGTCTCAACCAACACGGTATTTCGTTTACCTCTACTTATTTTAATTAAGTAGCAAATATATTTAATATTCTCATTTAGAGCCGTTCTGTTCGTGAGTTTGATGAATCCATGACTGTGGATATGTTCGGCTATAAGTCAGTTGAGGAATACTATGCCGATGCCTCACCAGCATCGAAAATCCATCGAGTTCGTATTCCTGTACTCTGTCTGAATGCTGCTGATGATCCTTTTGTGCCATTCCAAAGTAAGTTTGCATGTGTCTTTATTTTCGTGTGAATGAGCCACAAATGCGAATGGTTGTTTTATTTAAGGCTTGCCTCTGAATACTGTCAACGACTCAGATAATAAGGTGATCCTCGCATTGACACGCCATGGTGGACACATAGGATTTTTGGCAGGATTTTTGCCCACTCGTCCAAGCCTCATGGACCGTGCTGTTCCACAGTTCGTTGCGGCTGTATTTGAGCACAAAGAGGAGTTTGATCAAATCACCCACACCAACAAGATGATCTCAGTGGAGGAAGCCTTGAATGAGGAGGAAGGAGATGGAATTAGGGAGCCTGTTAAATTTTATTGATTTTAATGTGGTCTTGCTTATTTGAACAATGTATGAAATGCGCCAATAAATTTGAGCTATTAAGTTTTGTTGATCTCTGTCTTTTTTCTGTTGAGTTTCCGTGAATGCTTTTCTGAATCACGAGTATGCGAAAGAGGTGACCCCTTGCACTGAAATTGCAAAGTCGGTGAGTAGCGTATAAGTCCAACCTAGGGTGATGGTGTTGTGGAGGTGAAGAAAGTGAGGTATAGCATTTCGAGATCCTTTAAAGTAATTCCTGATATATATTTATTTATTTCAAACGGCAGGCTTTATGATATTTATCATTTGCCCTTAAACTCTGACTTCAGCTTCCCCCAAGGGTGGAGGGGGGGG